TTGTATCCATAAAGTATCGCACTCTTTAAAATGAACGTAGGCGCAATAGTGTTTATGAGGGACCCACACAGGGGCGCTGGACCACACGCCAGTGGTGTTATTTCACCCCTGTGCAGGATGCCCAATCGTATTCTGTTCCCGGGCGACTAACGACGACACTTTTTTTCATTTTGTCATTAAATACAGTAGACAAAAGTTTCCCTACTGTAGGGCGCTCTTTAAAACTCATAGTGTTCCTCTGGAAGCGAGGGGCGCACCAGGTCAAACGAATTGTCATCGAATGTCGTGTGCCACGGAGTCAATATTGCAGAGTGCTCTTTAACACAACCTTAGGATATCCCAGGGCGCCAAATCGCATTCTGCCGGGGCGCCGGCAGACGCGCCTGATTCCATATAGTCAACGATTATTGTTGCCCATCCTGTCTTTAGTTTATAAATAAAAAAAACACGAACGTAGGCGTCATAGTGTTCACATGGTAGCATGGGGCGCTTCGGGTTACGTAATATCCGGGGCGCCGACGGGTGCGCTTACTGCTGCTTTTTTACCGCTGAGAATAGTAAGGCCCCTTAGCTCAAGTTTTAATATCGCCGCGCTGGAATTTTGGGCGCCAAGCCTTGTATTAACAAAAATCGCACCCTCCAGGGAAACGCCCATAATAAATTATAATTTTTGTTTTCGCAGAAACCTTCTCGCGAGTTTTTTCATTAACTCTCGAAAGTTTAACGGCACTCAGATGAACGATGTAAAACAGCATCCGTTTTGTTTTTTACAAACCATGTAGAGAAAAATTGAACCCTCCAGGAACGCCGCCCTTGTAAAATAAAAAAATAAAATTCTTACTGTAACCTCCCCTGAAGTTTTATGGCGAACGGATGAACGGGATTAAACCGCAATCTACTTTTACTTGTATATACCCTATATAGAGAAGAATCGAATCGCGCCCTGCTGGGGCACCGTCCATAGAGGACATAAACAAACCCACAAACAAACAAGCAAAATTTCATATATATATATATATATATATATATATATATATATATATATATATATATATAATATAGCTACATTTGGTGACTTCCCATTTTGCCCAATGGCGACAATTTTTGCACATAATCCACTTATTAATTCATGTGAAAAAAGCATTGTTTTGATCGTAAATTATTAGATTTTGGTATCAGCCCCTTTCCTGCCGGCGCTTAGCAAATCTGTTATCCTAAAACTCAACAAGCATGTATTCATCTGTACATTTTGCAGCTCGTGTCATCTCCCCTCACCCCCTCCCCCCCCCCCCCACCCTTGGGTGATAGTTTTTAAACGTGCACAGTTAATTGTAGATTTTTATCTGCAGTCAGTTATTAGTAGAGTTAACTCTCATTAGTCATTTATTGAACTGGCAAAATGCATACTTCTTCTATATATTTTGCTATTTTTCGCCATGGTGTCTCGCGAGTTTTTTCATTAACTCTCGAAAGTTTAACGGCACTCAGATGAACGATGTAAAACAGCATCCGTTTTGTTTTTTACAAACCATGTAGAGAAAAATTGAACCCTCCAGGAACGCCGCCCTTGTAAAATAAAAAAATAAAATTCTTACTGTAACCTCCCCTGAAGTTTTATGGCGAACGGATGAACGGGATTAAACCGCAATCTACTTTTACTTGTATATACCCTATATAGAGAAGAATCGAATCGCGCCCTGCTGGGGCACCGTCCATAGAGGACATAAACAAACCCACAAACAAACAAGCAAAATTTCATATATATATATATATATATATATATATATATATATATATATATATATATATATATATATATATATATATATATATATAATATAGCTACATTTGGTGACTTCCCATTTTGCCCAATGGCGACAATTTTTGCACATAATCCACTTATTAATTCATGTGAAAAAAGCATTGTTTTGATCGTAAATTATTAGATTTTGGTATCAGCCCCTTTCCTGCCGGCGCTTAGCAAATCTGTTATCCTAAAACTCAACAAGCATGTATTCATCTGTACATTTTGCAGCTCGTGTCATCTCCCCTCACCCCCTCCCCCCCCCCCCCCCCCACCCTTGGGTGATAGTTTTTAAACGTGCACAGTTAATTGTAGATTTTTATCTGCAGTCAGTTATTAGTAGAGTTAACTCTCATTAGTCATTTATTGAACTGGCAAAATGCATACTTCTTCTATATATTTTGCTATTTTTCGCCATGGTGTCACCCCCGAAATTTTGCCGCCTTGCGCAATCCGCAGCCCCGCCCCCACCTTGTGACGCCTCTGTTTAGGGATACTACTTGAGTAAAGGGGGGGGGTATAGCCCCTTGGCACACCTTGTACCTACGCCACTACATATTCATGTTCTAAGATTATATAGCACATTCTATGCATAAATTCCATAAAGATAGTTATTACGTATTCTGCAATTTTATATTTGTAATAACATATTGTAAACAAAATGAGTCTTAAATTCGATTAAAAAATGGGCTTTTATATTATGTATTTTTTTGTATTTTGCAATCATATCATGTATTACTTGCTGTAGAGCCTAGATTCTATAATAATATACTAATTTATTCTATATTCCGAAATCCTATATTTTATCGTTTAGTAATCTCTGCCCTAATGTTTTCTATACTGAATAATCAATATTCTGTTTCTAAATTCTGTATACATTAATCATACAATCTCTAAAGTAATCATAACTGTGATCACAATTAAACTCAGCAATCCACTGTATTAATTTATATTGCTAAAATAATTTAATTTTCAATTTTAAAGACAGAAGATACATTTTGTATAATATAAATGATTATTAATAATTTATTAGCTCTGTAAAATGAATGGTTGTTTAATTTTTCTTATATTAAATATCTTAAGCGTTTAATTAATCGAAATGGTTTTATTCCGTCAGCTAGTTTTTACAGTTTATAACTATAATTAGAGTCTCAACGACAGAATCAAATGAGAAAAAATCTATAGGCTTATTATATACCGACACTGTCGAATAGCAACTCAACGACACTGTCGTTGAGAATAGTGTAGGATCGGCTGAGCAGGTAGAAACAGATGCAACTGATGTTGACTTGCGCGGTACTCTCAACTCGAATGTCTATTATAGGTTGATTTGTTAGTAAATAAAATGGGCGAACAATTTATAAACAGCTAAATTGTCCATAGTAGGGGATGTAACTTGAATAAATAACACATCAATTGATTTGGAAATTGTGTTTATATATTTTATTATTTTGGAACGGTTAAACAATGGTTAATTTAGATTATAAGTTTAAATAACAGCAAAGCCCACAAGAATATGTTAAAAAAACACGTACAAAAACCATCAATAATAAAATAATAAAAAAATGTTCTGCTTTATAATCAAAGAATATTTCCGTTCGGCAAAAGAAATAACATTAGGTATTGATTATGTGTATATCATACAAACATATTAGAGAATTCAAATGTAAAAACACTATCAAGAACATTAACGACCAAACATTAATCCAGATGTCAAAGGGGTAAATAGGATAGCATTATATCAACACAAAAATTAACACCTTCAGACTAAAACATTTAAATAGAAACAGAAAACAGCCACACTACCACCCAGTAACACACTACTACATAGGACAAAGAATTCACGCTGTTCTAAAAGAAAACATTACTACAATACACTATGAGTGCCCATATTTAGGCCCATTTTATTTGCTGGCCAGCAGCCATTTGATCGGCCTGAATTTTGTTGGCCAGAGTTTTAAAATGAAGCTGAAATTGCTTCTGGATTATTTGACTAAACACGTATAACAGCAATCCTCTACGTAATTTAATTTTAGAAATTGGGTCTACAACACGTGCACATACTGATGTTCAAGGTGCCTAAAGACAAAGTCTGTAAGAATGAAAAAAAAATTCTTTGTGCAGAAATCCCAAATAAGCTGCTCACCTACGTCTAAATGAAATCGAACATATCTAAACACGACTCGTGTGTCTAGCGGCATAGCTACCGTAAAGTTAGTGTAAGTAATGCATAGAGTCCCAAGAAACCTAGGGCCCTTTTCGTTCTTAAAAAATAAAAAATAAAAATTGAACTGTATTATACAAAAAAATCAAATGAAAACCCAGTGTATTTTCTACAGAAGAAAAAAAATAAGATCCCTAGTTTTTTAATAGTGTATAGTGTGGTCGGGGGGAGGGGGGAGGGATCGAACAGGACCCATTCGGAATAATAATCTAAAAGCGTTATTCCATTGTTGGGCAAGCCATTGAGATAATTAACCACTAAATAAACTTAAAATTTAACTCTTCTGAGACAGGCATTTAGCACCCATAAATTTAAATCGCTACAAACATCACCCGACTTTGAATCTACTTACTCCATTCCTAACGACCTGTACCTCCCTTATAACTGCCTGCTCTCTCCCGAAATTCCTACCTACTAAATATAATTTACGACACTTGAGCCATTTTTTTGGGATGCATATCTCACAAAATTCAAAGTTCAAGTTTATTTATGAGTTAATTCTCTCAATTGCTTGCTCGACAATGCAATAAAGTCTGTAGGGTTTTTAATACGGTCCATGCTACAGCCTGATTCAATGGTCAAACCGAACAAGCACATCATGCGACCCGGTGCTTCCCAATGAGCACTACGACGCATATATTAGATTTAATGAGCGTCATAAATAGGTATACGTATGGCTACTGAAAAAACCTAGATACGCCACTCCACGTGGTTTGTTGTACACCAATTTAACATGAATGGAAACTGATACACGCAGCAAAGAATATCTCAAAAGATTTATGTGCTGAGACTAACAGCGATGTCAAGAGACAATCACAATATTATCAAAATCACCCGACTTTGAAATTCCCTACCCCACCCCTACAGACCTTTTACGAAGTTCTAAAAGTAAAAACTAGGTACAACTGTTTTTTAGATAACATTTCTTGTCAAAACTATAAAAAAATTTAACTCTGTTCAGTTATACAATTCTTATTCACAACTTGTATCACTTTTCAGTTCACTGTACATTTCTTGCATCTCCGTCGGTGTGTAAGGATGCCCTGAGATTCGACTCCTCATGTCTGATACATCATACATTTCGTAAGTAAATCGATCATTGTCTATGACCTCAACGCCAGCTTTCTTGGAGCACATCCCTGTGACGTACACATCCTCCCACCGGAACAACGGCAACCTGAGGGACGCCTCGAACAGCAGCCATGACGCCTGTGTAGACATGACGTAGGCCCCACCTGACACATAATCCGGATATCTGCTCTTAGGGTAATCAGCTTTAGATATGTACCACTTTGATTTAGTAGACCTTATTGGGGGTGGTTTTGGTTTGACGTATTTTGTTCCCATCACAAAAGCTTGTAGTTTAGGTTTTTTTTAACTTGATTGTTTTTTCAAACTATCAATTAAACAGTTGAAATTTATATACATGTCTTCGTCCGCTTTGAGGATATATTTTGCCATTGAACAGTAAGTAGAAACATACTTGATAATAGATACCGATTTTAGACTTAGGTTGTGATAACAGTCCAAGTAATCCTCCTGCAAAATATCACCATACTTGGCTGATTCTTTAAGAAGTAATTTCTGTTTTAAGCTTGCTTTTGGGTATCCAGGCTCCGGTTGACCAATGAAAAAAACTAGAATTGAGTTATGGGAGCTGACGTTAGCATAACTACCCCAGGTCTCTCGAATCGCCTGGCGACCTTTGAAGTTATCAAAGCGCGTTGCAACACCGATGAATAGTTCTATTTCGTCGCGGCCTTCACAAATAACATTGGGAGAGATGATATATTTGTAGTTATGTGAGTTAATGACTGGTTCATTAAGGAACGGAAATTTCTTGAGATCTTGCGCACTGTAAGTTGGCGGTGATTTTGTGGCGTTTTTCGGCTTTGTTTGGTTTGTTTTCACTTGGTTGAACCATACTCTTTGTGTAATATTACGCTCTAACTCCCAGATTGCATTGATACTTCACACTGAGAATACGGATAGGGGACTTCTTTTAGATGTATTGTTGATCAAAGCAGCAATGCCGCAGGCAAAGATTAAAGCAAAGCTAAGTTTCACATATTTGAATTGAAGCCGAGGTCGGATACCCAAGGAGATCATTCTGAAAGGAGTAGGTAGAAACGTGTGTCAGTAGAGCATGTTCAAAATGAGCTTTAAAATTTTAATTATCACAAAAATTACCATCTTAAACCAGGCGGTGTGGTCGAGTCGGTGAAGCTCATGGTTCGAACCCTCGTGCAGATGAGGCTCGATAGCTGAGGACAGCACATTTTTCTAGAAATAGGTCCCCAACCAACCTGACCTGAGATGTAGATGTGTGGAAACAAGTAAAGAGATACCCTGTTGTTTTAAGGCTAAGGCTAGGACATAGGTCCCTGATCTGGCTTTGATGGACTGAGACAGAACATTTTGTTTTTTGACATGAGGGAGGTAGAAGTGTTTTTAGTGATCAAGCCTGTAAGATAGAGTTAGAAACTTTGGAATCCTAGTCTTCTCTTGTTTGTTATAATGGTTGGATGTGTATCTGTGTAGGACTTAGAAAGTCTCGATTTGGTTGTGATCAAGTTAGGGTGTGTTAAGAAAACTGTCTTCGTCTTTTTTAAGTAATAAATGAGCGATCTGCAGACCAACTTTGGAATCATACTTACATTAGTCAAACTTATAGACATACTGATTTCTAATAGTAAACTATCGATGCATACAACCATTCCAATGTATGATGCCTATATGACATTCAGCCTTATGTCATGCCACATTTACTTTCAGTAAAGGGTTTCGGGTAGTTATCTTACCTTAAGACATTCCAATGCATTGCGACTTATTTTTCTTTCACAAATCACAGTTGTTTTTTGTTTGATTAATGAAACAGGCGTGCTATAAAAAAATAATAAATAGCACATATTTATAGACAGGACTAATTGTGAGGATTGTGACATTAAAGTAAAAACAAAAAATATATGCTCTGTAACCCAAACGAGATAGGTATAAACATTTTCAATGGCCGGATAGCAATATAATATTTTTATTCAACAACCACCCCGTCTCCCAACTATTCCCGATACCTAGTATCTTTGATTTTGCCCCACTGTCCATTGTACCAATACTTTGTTTGAATGTTTATGTATGTATATATATATATATATATATATATATATATATATATATATATATATATATATATATATATATATATATATATATATATATATATATATAAATGGATCCTCTTTAAGCTTTTTGCATAGTTATCAATATACCAAAGACAATAGTTTCAGTGCAATGGATACAACGTTAAATTTAAAAATAATCTCATGTGTCTAAATAATTTAAATATTTTCTCGATTTTCGTCCATCAGATTCCAACATTTAAAAAAAAGTAGAACAAAATTACAAACACGTGCTTATGGGAAAAACCATTTTAAACATGCATGAATGATCGACATCAGTAAGTAACCTACTAGCGACTGTGTTCACTCTCTTCTTATTGATCTCCATTATTGAACGTAAAATTGATATTTAAAACGTAAGCTGCTGAAATGTTTCTTTATTTAGGTCATATTAGTTACAAGCTTTTACTTAGCTTGCTTCCTTTTGATGGGCCAAAACTGCTGATAAAAATTAAACAACTTCTTACCAATTACTTGTAAACTTGGCACGAGGTTCAATACCCGAAGACAATGTAACACGCGAAGACAATGTAACACGTCATAATTTTTTACCCAATAGGATGCTTATTTATTCTAAATTTCCTATTTCAAGTAGTACTATTTATTTTACTATTTTACGCATGTTATTCGTGTTGAGTTAATGCATAATTATTTGTAGCCATGCAACCCTATTGTATTGAAAGATTTAAAGTACTGAAAAAGGAATAAAAACGTTTTTATTATAAGCTATTATTTAATGATGAAAACGGAGAAAATAGATATGATTCTTTAAATACGATCCTCAATAATAAACTGCTATTTAAATAACTAAAAACACGTGGGTCGCACAATAAATTCTAGTAAGGTTTTTAACAAATAATAAAGCGACCCACGCTTTTCTAAGCCGTAGCCGTACCGTAGCCGTAGCCATAGCCATAGCCATAGCCATAGCCATAGCCATAGCCATAGCCATAGCCATAGCCATAGCCATAGCCATAGCCATAGCCATAGCCATAGCCATAGCCATAGCCATAGCCATAGCCATAGCCATAGCCATAGCCATAGCCATAGCCATAGCCATAGCCATAGCCATAGCCATAGCCATAGCCATAGCCATAGCCATAGCCATAGCCATAGCCATAGCCATAGCCATAGCCATAGCCATAGCCATAGCCATAGCCATACCCATAGCCATACCCATAGCCATAGCCATAGCCATAGCCATAGCCATAGCCATAGCCATAGCCACAGCCACAGCCAAAGCCACAGCCACAGCCACAGCCACAGCCACAGCCACAGCCACAGCCACAGCCACAGCCATAGCCACAGCCATAGCCATAGCCATAGCCATAGCCACAGCCATAGCCATAGCCATAGCCATAGCCATAGCCATAGCCATAGCCATAGCCATAGCCATAGCCATAGCCATAGCCATAGCCATAGCCATAGCCATAGCCATAGCCATAGCCATAGCCATAGCCATAGCCATAGCCATAGCCATAGCCATAGCCATAGCCATAGCCATAGCCATAGCCATAGCCATAGCCATAGCCATAGCCATAGCCATAGCCATAGCCATAGACATAGACATAGACATAGACATAGACATAGACATAGACATAGACATAGACATAGACATAGACATAGACATAGACATAGACATAGACATAGACATAGACATAGACATAGACATAGACATAGACATAGACATAGACATAGACATAGACATAGACATAGACATAGACATAGACATAGACATAGACATAGACATAGACATAGACATAGACATAGACATAGACATAGACATAGACATAGACATAGACATAGACATAGACATAGACATAGACATAGACATAGACATAGACATAGACATAGACATAGACATACACATAGACATAGACATAGACATAGACATACACATAGACATAGACATAGACATAGACATAGACATAGACATAGACATAGACATAGACATAGACATAGACATAGACATAGACATAGACATAGACATAGACATAGACATAGACATAGACATAGACATAGACATAGACATAGACATACACATAGACATAGACATAGACATAAACTTAGACATAGACATAAACTTAGACATAGACATAGACATAGACATAGACATAGACATAGACATAGACATAGACATAGACATAGACATAGACATAGACATAGACATAGACATAGACATAGACATAGACATAGACATAGACATAGACATAGACATAGACATAGACATAGACATAGACATAGACATAGACATAGACATAGACATAGACATAGACATAGACATAGACATAGACATAGACATAGACATAGACATAGACATAGACATAGACATAGACATAGACATAGACATAGACATAGACATAGACATAGACATAGACATAGACATAGACATAGACATAGACATAGCCACAGCCACAGCCACAGCCACAGCCACAGCCACAGCCACAGCCATAGCCACAGCCACAGCCACAGCCAGAGCCACAGCCACAGCCACAGCCACATCCATAGCCACAGCCATAGCCATAGCCATAGCCATAGCCATAGCCATAGCCATAGCCATAGCCATAGCCATAGCCATAGCCATAGCCATAGCCATGGCCATAGCCATAGCCATAGCCATAGCCATAGCCATAGCCATAGCCATAGCCATAGCCATAGCCATAGCCATAGCCATAGCCATAGCCATAGCCATAGCCATAGCCATAGCCATAGCCATAGCCATAGCCATAGCCATAGCCATAGCCATAGCCATAGCCATAGCCATAGCCATAGCCATAGCCATAGCCATAGCCATAGCCATAGCCATAGCCATAGCCATAGCCATAGCCATAGCCATAGCCATAGCCATAGACATAGACATAGACATAGACATAGACATAGACATAACATAGACATAGACATAGACATAGACATAGCCATAGACATAGACATAGCCATTGACATAGACATAGACATAGCCATAGCCATAGCCATAGCCATAGCCATAGCCATAGCCATAGCCATAGCCATAGCCATAGCCATAGCCATAGCCATAGCCATAGCCATAGCCATAGCCATAGCCATAGCCATAGCCATAGCCATAGCCATAGCCATAGCCATAGCCATAGCCATAGCCATAGCCATAGCCATAGCCATAGCCATAGCCATAGCCATAGCCATAGCCATAGCCATAGCCATAGCCATAGCCATAGCCATAGCCATAGCCATAGCCATAGCCATAGCCATAGCCATAGCCATAGCCATAGCCATAGCCATAGCCATAGCCATAGCCATAGCCATAGCCATAGCCATAGCCATAGCCATAGCCATAGCCATAGCCATAGCCATAGCCATAGCCATAGCCATAGCCATAGCCATAGCCATAGCCATAGCCATAGCCATAGCCACAGCCACAGCCACAGCCACAGCCATAGCCATAGCCATAGCCATAGCCACAGCCACAGCCACAGCCATAGCCACAGCCATAGCCACAGCCACAGCCACAGCCATAGCCATAGCCACAGCCATAGCCATAGCCATAGCCATAGCCATAGCCATAGCCATAGCCATAGCCATAGCCATAGCCATAGCCATAGCCATAGCCA